TGTGAGAGAGAGTTCACATTTGCTTTTGCCGGCATTACTTGATGTCTGGAATTCGTCCTCCGCATCTATAGCATGTCGGGTCTTTTCACTTTTGTTGCTGTGCACAGGGTTTCCATATAGCTCTGTTTTCCTGCCCTTTGTTTCCTCTGGAACTATTTCGGCAGGCGCTGCCTATTGTGTATTCATCTGTACCTTTCCTCCCTACCAGTTGGGATGCTCTATTAAACATGTGCCTGGCTGATCACTCAGTTCGAATCCACAGCCAGTGTCAGTAGCTCACTCTAGTGTTATATCGCTGTCTCGTTACCTGGCTCTCCTTCGTAGCCGTGAGGACAGACATGGTGTGATTAATCTGTGATTTTATTTTCAATTAAGTTAATGGAATTCACATGTACTCTGCCTGCTTCTGAGTCTAGTCAGTACGTCATTATATTCTCCACTCTTGATCTGTTTCGCCTGTTGGAATCTATAGACGTCGTGATTCTCTTCCGTTTTGCATTGAAGCTTACGTCTCTACGCATCAACCGTAGCTTGCGATGTACAAGATATGTGCTTCTTCTTCCTCTACCGAACTGTATCGGCTAGTGTCAGGCGTTGAGAAAATCATGTACTTTTCCTTCACCAGCCTTCTTTCGTTTAATGATTGTCACTTCTAGTGACTAGCAGATTGTCAAGTCTCTCCTTCCATCTCCTCCATCTCACTGAAACGGAGCCATCCTCGCCGATGTTGAACGCGGGAAAACCCAGCAAACACGGAACATTCTCGTAACATTTGCTGGAGGTTCTAGTTTAGTTACATTAGCCAAAAATATTCTAGAACATCCCATATCGTTATGCAATTTATTGGTTTTACTGTGAGAGAGTTATGTCTTGGAATGTTTCTCGTAACATTCGCTGGAGGTTCTAGTTTGGTTACATTAGCCAAAAATAATCTAAGAACATTCCCATATCGTTATGCATTCATTCGTTTTACTTGGTGAGAGAGTTATGTTCTTGAAATGTTCGGAAAACGTTAACGTCCACGGATGGGTTCGAAACTCCTAATTGCCGTTTTTGTGATGTTGCAAACTATAGCACAGGTATCAAATGTATTTTTGTTTATGAATTATCAGATCATATATTATACAACATCTTTGGGAGATAACTGTTGGGAGATTAATGTCTCGAGGCTACGGGTACGGCAGTCCATTTCCACAAAATAATGCCGTTGTAAATTAATTCACGATTTAGTTCACGATTAAGATTTCTTGATGAGCTAGAAAACACTCGGATTAGAAGTATGAAAATAAACATTATTGTGCCAGCTAGCCTACACCAGTTGGTTGGGATTGAATGTCAGTTCAGATGCAAAATATTGAAAGCAAAACGTTACACACCATAGATTAATTTGGGTATTATAACACGCGTATATAAGATAGCCGAGTCGGTTTAGAGTTAGTGTTAGGGTTAGGGTTGGGGGATAGGGATAGAGTGACTGTTTGTACTTGTGTGTGGGACTGCCGTACCCGTAGCCTCGAGACATTCAGATACGGCTGCAGCGCATGCGTAGTGTGGCTGCCGTTAATATGTCATTTGTGAAAATTGATCAAATGTTATCTGAAAGTAGTGTGAATGTTACTGCCTAACATTTGGTAAAAACGTTCTCAGAATGTCTGGAAAACTTTCCTAAAAAACGTTATTAGAACGTTACTGAATAATGTTCTGCTAACCTAAAAGAAACATTCCCATAACATTCGAGGAACATAACTTTGTTAGCTGGGAATGAGGGAGTGCTGACGCCATTTTCTTTGTTAAGGTGCACAGGCATGCTCGGATTAAATACACGACAGAATGGGGTTTCGAGCGATTCTGAAGTAAATCCGCTAGTACCACTAGGTAAGCACCGCTTTCCCTACCATCCTCGTCGCCATTGTAATATCTCTACATCTGATAAAGATCTAAAGACTCAATGTTTGTCGCACACTAAACATTTATTGCAGCTGCTCCACTCCGGTGACAATTCCCGCCTCTCGCGAATACCCGGATGTTCCCGGTTATAAATAACGCGGATGTTACACCAAGACATTACATCTCACACGACGTTTCTTAAAATTTAAATTTTGTCATGTAGTGTAGTATCACGTAATGAAATTTCCTCGCAACAGGATTCACGAAATAATTTCTCTTTGCAATATACAATCTACGCATCAAGGCCTACTTTATTATATAAATGTAACGATGCGAAATGACGCGAGTGAAAGTTAATAGAGTAATGTAGAAAAGTAGATTACGAGCGTCACCGTATCACACGCGCGGTAGAGAACTTAAGTTGGGACGCGGGGAGCATAAGATCGTCCTAATGCACTTAGAACTAGAGCAATCGGAGAGCATAGACCTCCGCCAAGGCAGCTAAATTCTGTCACTGTGAAAATTTTTATTAATTAATTTAGTAATTGAATAATTAATTGGATCCGGATAACGACCAAAATATAATCAATTCTAAGTTACCCGATTTCTGACGTATCAAAATAATTAATTAAATTAATTAAATGGGATCCGATACACCAAAATGTAATCAGTTCTAAGTACCCATTAGCTGACCTAGCTGTAAAAGGATTATTAAGTAAGTAAAGTATAATTAATTGGATCCGATCGCTCACTAAAAGCTCATCATAGTCTAAGTAGCCATTTCTACTATCCGGAATTTATGACAAATCGTCCATATTTAATTTTAGTTAGGCTTGTACACAATATTCTATAACCACAACCCAGCAAACAACAAAACATCGCGGTGAACTAACATCTACTCCTGCCAACCTAGAGAAAAAATTGATTACTAGAACTAAAACTGCTTATAACCTCTGTGGAAAGACATATTATAGTGTAATATTAGCTTTAGTACGCGTTTGAATCATATTATAGGAGAGGCATATACGAGACTATTCGTTGCCTCATTGCACTAATTCTTTAAAATTAAAATTTTTCAGTAATAACGCAATGAAATTCCTCGCAAATCGCATTCACGAACTTATTCGCTTTGCAAGATAAACTCTACGCAGTCAAATCCATACTTTATTATATAATCCACATGCGGAAATGGACCGCGAGTGAAAGGTTATAAATAGAGAAATGTAACAAAATTAATGTAGAATTACGAGCGTCACAGCTAGCACACGCGCCGGTAGAAACTACGCGATCAATAAGCTTCCTTATATATAAACAAATTACGATCAGCAGAGAAGTCATGTACGTTACCAAAAATTATCATAATCATGAGAACGGCGTACTCGCCTAGAACGTGTAGACGCATATGGCGTGGTGTGTGTGTCGTGTTGTGTGCTGGGTTGGTGTGCCATGAGTGTGTGTTTGTGTTATTTTACGTCTGGTGTCTACGTTTTTTGCGTACGGAACTTCTTGTGTGCGATTATGACGCGCGGTGCGTGTTTGTGCGAGCGTGAGCTCGTGTCTCTTTCTGTTGTATGTTGCGTGGAAGTCAGGCAGTAGATTTACAATAGATTCACATCTACAAATCTCTGATCACACATCAAACACACACACAACACACACACACACGCACACACACACACACAACACGCACACACACACACTACACACACACACACACACACACACACCACACATCGCACGCCACGCACCAACACACGCACACGCACACAACACACACAACACACACACACCACACACACAACACAATCGTCAAGCGCATAATTTCTTTTTGTTCTTTAACAACTTTAACAACATCGTAAACTATAATGATATGTGTGCGCGACTTCTTCACATTCGCCGTGTCGCACCACCTACTGGTTAAACTAGAATTTCCTTGCTTTTACACAGGAAAAATAAAACAAACAAGTGTTACCGAAAGAAACACTGCCTGCTGCAGGAGGGTGCGCTCTGATTGATAGAAATAATGTAGATGATGGTCAAAGTTCAGCAGGCCCAGCGGCTTTCCTAGTAGTGCAATCCAAGAAAGACCTGCTTATGTTACGTTGTTATTGGCAGCTAAATTGCAGAAAACAGTCACATTTATCAAAAGTTATTACAAAAAAAAAAGGTGCTTTAATTACTGTCATTTCCACGATGTAAAAATGACGTGGGTGTAGTTAGAGTCCTCTTTGTCGTTATTTTCATGTCGCATCATCTTTCAAAAAGTAAAGTGCATATAACTTCGAAATAAACAAGCAGACTAAGCAAACGAAACCGTTCAGAATAAGTGCAAGCGGAAGGAATATGGTTTTATAGATGGCGCTCCCAGCGGTGTAATAGGTTGGCAGAAAGGCAATCCACATCAGCGTTGTCGTATACACACAGAAGCTGATGAAACGGGATTCATTGAAGTTGCTTGGCAGCTTGCGGGTCTTAAACGCGTAGATACTGTAATTTATATATATAAAATATAAATGAAAGGAATACAACCATTTCTAAGACTGAGATGCCATGGTTTACACCCTATATGACATCCCATAACTTGTTATGATATTCATCATCTAATATGATTATTAGATTAAAAACGGTTAAATCCTTAATAAATATTGCTATCATTGAATCCCAACTTTTTCACATAAAAAACGCTCAACATCCAATAAGGAAGGATTATCCAAATTCGGCTTATTTTGATTCGTTTGTCTACACTACAGCTGACATTTTCTGTGACTTCTTTTCGCATGGCGGTGGCATCTTTTACTGTTTCAGCAATCCATCACAATTTTATTGATCATAGACAATTTTCATTCATTTCACTCATAAAGGAATAATAATACTTATAAGTACGGTATTAAGGTATGAAATTGAAAGAAACTTAACGGCTAAGGACGTAATATCATACTATTGTCATTGAATATGTAAGTTTGCTATCGAACCATAATAATATACTTCATAAAAAAGCTGCTTACCTGCAGAAAACCGTGAGTAAGACGTTAAATGACAGCGATGTGAGAAATCCCTCCGTCTGTGTTTTGCATGACAGTTCGACCAGCTTCTCAGTGGGTATCCGCATCTGT